TGTAAAACCATAGGAGGGTTAGTATGTGAAATGAACCCAATGAGAGCTTGAAGCTGAAGTTTGATATCAGAAAAGATTTGTTGTATTTTGAGGGCTTGCGTTACGTCCGTTTGAGCTGGTTGGGTTTTTTTAATGCTATTTTCAATAGCCTGATGATTTAACGCCAAGTTCTGACATTGGGAGTAGTGCAGAGACTTTGACATCATATCTGTACCCAAGAGGCTACATTTTCTTACAAAACCATGACCAAAATGCTCTTCTGCCGAACATGTATATCACAATTGCACATGTGATTCAAAGATACAAGGCATTTGCACATGTGCATAAGCATTGCGCTAAAACCAGGCGGCGCGGCACAGAAACAAGGTGACAGTACGTAAGTGTTGTGTGTCTCTTAAAGTTAAGATGTACAAGGAAGGGCTATTCCCATGTTGGCACTAGTGCACATGTGTCATGCACTCTTCAGTTGAAAGCCCTTGTGCATTTTGGCAAGTCAGTAACGCCACATGGTTCCAACGGGCTGCACACAAGAGTGGCGCCACCTCAGTAATGGCTTGCAAAGCCATGTCCGAATTATTTGGCACAAGACTGCGATTTGTGGCTGCGGTCACTTCCCATAGAGCCGTGTGGGATTTCAAGCCGCAGCCAAGTAATTTAGACACTGCCTGATTCTAGTCGTGGGATTAGTGTCAGTACCAGGCGCCTCTCAACGTTTGTATGGTCACGATTGCTTCTTGATTCCTTCAGCCGAGAAGCAGCGGGACCCGGCGCTGCGGCTGGCATCGCTCATGGTCGGCCACTTCGGTATGAGCTGGGCCCTGGGCCCCGGTCACGCGGACAAGAAATTCCTGCTGCTGCTGATCCACATGGCCTGCGTGGAGACCAGGATGGCCCTGGAAAGCCCCGACCACCAATATGTGAGTCCAGTCCCAAAATTCTTGACTGCAGTGATGTCACACTTGCGTATACTTTACACCCAAGGGACATTGTGGCACTTGAGGGGAAGTTGAGGTGCCATGCAACCTCGGGGGATGTAAAAAAAAAAAGTTATTCAACTCATGTTCCCCTGTCACAGCGGTCAAGTAATTTTCAGGGAAACAGAGTGCGGGGCACATTCAAAAAGCTGAAGCTTGTGTTGAAAATGCCCTTAATGAAATTGCGACGAAGAAAAAAGCAATTGATCAGCGATGAAACAAGAAATGAAAGACTACAAAGACGAACATATAAAAGAAAAAATTTCACGCTTGCTACATTCCCAACGCTCTCTTAGCTGCCTGGGGAGTGTTCAGCTGAATGCTGCCATTTCAGGTATGTGCTCTCACAGGTGTTTCTGTATATATTTTTGTTGAAAAGAGGGAGAAAGAGACTTGCCCAAGATCACAACATGTAAACCAGCCACTGGATTCGCACCCTCTGCCCCTGCGTTCGGGAGTCACAAAACCAGGGCACCAGGTCACATTGCTCCTGTGAAGGCCTCTTAAGGACCGTGAGCTTCGTGTTCAGATGGGAGGTTATAGAAATGGTCTATGATTGGGTTTTTTCCAACGAGGCTGATGCCGTGTGCACATTTTCAGAAATTCAAAATGGTGGTACGACCATTTTTGTAAACTTGGCATGCCACAGTGAAGTGGTAAAACATTGGGTTTAAGTCTCACCAAACTAGGTGTGGCACGTTGCTCCCACAGGCTTTTCAAAATGGCCAAATCTGTCAAAAATATTAATTATAAAGATGAACAAAGAATTTTACTGGAGTGGGATTTGAACAGTTGGAACCGTACCGTATTCTGCATTCCAAAGGCCGCCGGTTCGAATCTTGCTCCAGTCCAATTCTTTGTTCATCTTTATAATCATTTGTAAGCACCTAGTCAGTTTCCCGATATAGTCACCTAGTCAGTTTCCCGATATAATTTGTTTCATGAAAAATATTATTTCTGAGTATGAAGACTGTATTTCAAAATTTTCTGAAGTTTGTAAATTCTTTTCCCCACTTCCCAGACATCTTCCAAGGAGTCAGTGCTGGTGTCTTGCTTCAGTCTCTTGGAGCAGTGCATTGAGTACTTGACCTGTGGCCCCACGCTGGACCTCGATGACAGACAGGTAGTGCAGCTGCACACCGCCATGACGGGTGCATTCGGCGCCGTTATGCACTACTTACAGGGAGCACAGTTTGACAAGTCCTGGGTGAGTAGGCCAGCTTTCTCCTCAGAAACGAACAGTGCAGGTCGTACACGTCAATGGTTTGCACACGTGCGGCACTGAATGCAACCAGTTTTTCATTGAGACGGTGAGATTGTCCAGCTTTGCACGGAAGACCTGAAGCATTTCACCTGGTAGCAACGCATCCGAGCACCGTTCATGTTGGCCTCATTTTCACTGTTGAGGGGTACTCGTATGTAGATTCTGTACTCTGTTTGACCACGGATTGAAAGTCGGCAAGCACAAAGAACAAACTTAAAAATCTAACAAAAAAATTAATAGGAATGTAGGTTCCGTAATGGTTCCACTAGGTTCTAGGCCAGACATGTCAAAACAAAGTACCATTTCCATTGTTTAAATCCTCGGCTATTATTCTGCCTCTCCCCCCCTGCCAGCCTGATCAGCCATTAGTAGTCGCTGCCGTCAGAGTTCTGTGCGTGTGGTTAGCCGAGGAGACCACGGCTCTCAAGGACCAGGTCTACCAGCTCTTGCCCTTCCTCATCAAAGTCGTGTAAGATAAAAAATGCTTGATGTTGCAAGACACCATTCTCAGGCATGCAACTTTTCCTCAAATCAGCTGATATCCTCGTTTTTCACTTCACACTTGTGCCATTAGAAATTGAAAAACACTATATAAAGTCTTGTAAAGGTTGGAATTTCCTTGTTTTTTCTCCAAGTTCCATGCCTGAATTCTGTACCATTAGATTTTGCCTTTTTGTACTTCAAAGCCCAATAATTGGTATGTTTCTTGGAGTGTTCTCAAACCTAAAAGAAAAGGGCTGTCTGCACTTTGCTTAGATTTGCAAGGCAACGTAAGTGTTGCATCAGTTTTATCTGTGAAGCATGCGACGTGTGAATATGCTGGAAGTATATGAATAGTGCATTGTGTATGTCACCGGTTTTGAAGATATGTTGATATTTTTGTTTGCATTTGTTCATGAGACTTTGTTTGGTTGTTTCATTCCACGTCTGGCAGTCATATTTCTATTTGATGACAGATGAAGGCATGATATGGTCACAGATATTCAGCAAGCTGGACTGAAAGCATGTCAGGCATCTACATACTGGCTCAGCTTCACACAAACGATATTAACCACTTGATGCCGGGGCATATTTCAATGTTGATGATGCTGGGCAGGCATGACTATCATTTTTTCCGGTTTCAAAATCCTTCAAAAATTCATCATTTCATTTAACGGTGGTTTATAGCCACACCAAGTAATCTTTAGGCACTACTCTAAGTTGACAGGTGGCCTTCATTGACGCCCGAGTATTTCAGCCAGGCCAGCAGCCTTGTAAACAGAGCCCAGATTGTGCGGTGTTATAGAACTTTCTTTTGTTCACGACCTGGCTCAGTGCACTGCTGACCTCTTTTCAATAGGGGCCAGATTAGCATGCAGCGGTGCTGTGTAGCTCATCGCTGGGGTGGTGGAGCGCTTTTTGTCCCCGGTGGTAATCCGCTCGCTCTCAATGCCCCAAACCCTGGTATACGGTTTCAAAACAAGGCTGGATTATCACCACTTTTCAGAGTGAAAAATGTTGGTAACGCCCAGCAGCCTGGTCTTTTGTTCAGAGTACGGTCTTTTGTTACAGGGCCCTGTTTCCTTTGTCCGAGTTCAGAGACCCCGGCCACGCATATAAACCATACGTCTCCGATCCTGGAGTCCTCGGCAGAAAGTGGTTAAGCAAGTTTCCAGATTTAAACAACTCTTATTCCACTTTGGCATTTGCTGTTACCCCATAGAAATTTGCTATACTCCTATAATGGGTATGAAATGCTGACCAGCTTGAAAAGCAGTCAGTTAGTTTCCTGGAACGAAGATAACGAACACACTGGCAGATACATTTTTGGCAGAGTTGGACTGAGAAACTTGTGACTTGTCTTTCTTTGGACCAAATGTTTTGTGACTTGACTTGTGACTTGACCAAATGACTTGTGAAGTCATGGACTTGGACTTGCAAAATCTGACTTGCTGTCAACTCTGATTTTTGTCGACTCGAGCCACCAGATTAATCAAAGCAAATTAATCTTTCTTCAAACCTTTCAATTGTGACAGTGAAAAGTCCTTCAGGGAGGTCTCCAATTCTAAACACCTGGCCAGTGTTGCAGCAGCATCCACTGCACCTCAGAGCCTAAGGAGTTTTGCCTCCACAGACCTTCTGCGTCTGCTTCTACCAGCCCTGTGCCACCTCACAGCCGAGGACGAGCCGAGGGCCAGGCTGGTAGAGGAGGGAGGGATAGAGCTGCTTGGGGAGTGCTTCAGCTATCACTGGAAGAGGTTTGTGGATGGTGACGAGGATGGGGATTCCGAGGTGAGTCTGTCTGCCTTGTTAGTTTGTTGATGGATGATGCGGTTTGTAGAGGAGGGAGGAATAGAGGTTCTTTGGGAATGCTTCAGCCATAACTGATGAAGACAAAGAAGAGGATTTAGAGATGAGTCTATCCATGTTGTCTGTTGGTTGGTGGGTTTTTCTGTTGGTTTGTTTGGGCAGGAGAAAGAGGTTTGTGAATGGAGATGAGGATTTTGGAGGTGAGCCTGTCCTTGGGTTGGTTGGTTGCGGTTGGTTGGAAGGCTGGTTCATGGGTTTGTTGGTGGGTGGCTTTTTGGAGGAGTGCGATAAAGCAACTTCGAGAGTGCTTATATAATCACTGGATGGAAGCAGTGCGTGGATGGAGACAAGAATGGGGTTTCAGATGTAGGTTGGTATTGTTCATTGGTGGGTGGGTTGGTTGGTTTGTGAAGGAGGAAATGAGAGAGATGCTTGAGGAATGCTTCAGCTTCGCTGGATGCAGTTCATGGATGGAGATGAGATTTTGGATTCAAAGGTAAATCTGTCTACATTCTTTTTGTTGGTTGATGAAGTAGTTGGTAAAGAGGGGAGGAATAGATCCGCTTGGTAGTATTAATGAACTACATCTGTCAATTCTTTCAGAAGTTTGACCACCAGTTTTTATAAAACTAGTGTTGGATACAGTGTTTACATAGCTTTTAAGATGTCTGCCCAATCTGCACTTGCAGATTGCCTTGACAACGCTTTGCAGTGTCTTCCTGAATGTGACCCTCCAGGATGCAGAGGCCGTGCAGAGACACTCGACGGTCTTCAAGGAGCTGCTGTGTCTACTAGCATCTGCCCTGGCCCACACAGGTACATCGCTTAAAATCCCGTCCAAATCAGCCATCCAGTGACAGATTTCAATGAAACTTGGTATGGCTACAGTGCCGACATGTGTAGTACATTGGTAATTTTCAAATTTGTAAACAGAGGTTCCAGTATATGATCTGTATCATTTCAATTTTTGTTTCAGTTGTTAAGACAGAGCATCTCATTCTGTCGTTCAACTTTGCTGTTCTCGGATTAACCCTACTCAGAACATTGGCAAACCATACAGGTGAGTACAGAAACAAAGTCAGTTTGGGATGTCTCTACGTACAGTGCATTTGAGAAGGTAGTAAACTGCAGTAATCTCTTGGTTGTATTTAAGTTATCTGGTTCATCAAGGATTCATTTTATTGATGTGCTGCTGACACTGACAAGGCTCCGGAGTGTGGAACATATTGGCTAAACAGACTTTGACACCAGCCAAAGTGCAGTATGATATGCATTGTGCACAGTTGGTATCCCTCTGAATACTGTCTGGCATGTGTCTGTTAGCTAAATTATTTCTCTTGAGTTTCGCTAAACATGCTTAACCATGGAGCATTTTAATGCAAACTACTGGCAACTTGTTCTCAGCTGAGCATCACTTGGTTGATGAATTTGCAGAGTATCGTATTATGCCCAATGGTATAAAAATTGAATTTTAGCATGCATGAATACCTGCACTTGTCATTGTTTGAGCCCAGTTCATTTTGGTTTTAGATTTTAGTGTCGGACAGGCGTGCTAAATCCAAGCCACGCACCGCAGTGGAGATTAAAATTAACATATACATCTCACTTCCTGCTGTGTCATCTCTTGCTACAATCTTTTTGATCACATGAACATTTTAAATAAGTGACCATGAAGCTGGTAGTCATACTTGGGTGTTATTTTTCCCCACAGATGTCCAGAATTTGTCGGCAATCAAGAAATTTGTTGGCCGGACGCTGGACCTGTTCAAAGCCTCCTTCCAGGTCACCGGTGACAACGTGCATGAAGTATGTGAGGCATACCAGCCATACTGGGCCGACGTAAATGAACTGTGGCTTCTCGGCATACAAGGTCAGCACCGTTCCATCTAAAATTTTACTGCTTTTTCAAGTAATCACATTTGTGTGCATTCTTGTCAGCTTTCTGCATCAGGATTGTCTGTGCAGATGTGTGATTTGGTCAGTCGGCTCCCGATATAGAAGATTCTCTGCATATTGGGATTACCCTTTCCAAGGAGCATCGTACATAAGTCCTGTCTTGACAACTTGTGTGAGAAATTTTCACCATGATGACCTCTGTCTTTCTAAAATACCATTGGTAAAGGGCAAAACGCAGAATTTACGTCTTCCCGAGCCCAAAATCCTATCACGGGTGATTGGTATTCAACAATGCTGGACGAAAATTACTGCATTTTGGCGATGACCACCGAAACGTAGTCAGTAGGGGCACAGGGAAAGGTCACTACGCCCATGATATGATAATACTCGGGACTGATGTTCTTTAAAATGTTATGAAATGGCGTACATTACAGGATAGTGGAATGGCTGATTTGCTCGGACATTATTCAGATCTGAAACCCCTCCCGAGATTTGTTTGAGGAAAATGAGGATTTTTACTGCATGATGTGATCACTCTTGTCTTGGCAGTGTTATCCGAGTGTCTGATTTGCATACCCTGGCTTCCATCCACGTGTCTCCAGAGCGGCTATTTGCAGCACATCATCGGGCTGCTCAAGATTGTTGTCGGTAATGCCTGCCAGGCTATTAACATACATGAACTACATGTGCAGCAAACTGTCATGACTGTTTCATAAGGAATCATGTTTTACGTCTGGTAACTCATGTTCCCAAGTCGTTAAACGGTCTGAGACTCGGAAGAACAGGTTTAACAGAAGAAATACAGCACTTCTAAAACTCGGAGCTTCTTCAAGTTACTTATTTTCAGTGTACTGTGCACAAGAGGGGGGTTTACAACGTATTGAACCAAAAGAGGTTAAAAGTTTGCCATATATCATCAGAAAAGTCAGTATGTTTTGTTCGACAATGTTGACAATGCGGTACCAGTTTTATTTTTAACACTCGTAAACAGAGTCAAACTTGTTAACCCCTTCCGGCCGAGGTTCTTTTGACCGTGACTGCTGGGCTGCAGTATGCAAAGCTCTGTCCAGCAGCAGGCCCACATTGAAACCACGGCTGCATGGTGAATAGACTGTATGTNGTATGCTGAGAATGTATGTGTGGTATGCACTAATCCTCACACAAACCTGCGGCTGTGGACGGCTCCCGGGATGAAGGGGTTAAGGGAAAACAACTAGAGTTAGGTTTGTGTCAGTGATCATGCTCCTATTTCCAAAGCTTCATTGTGGTACCAAAAACAAGGGATGAACAAAGTTTGAAAAGTAGCTTTTCAGAGGCAAATGCCTTATTATGCTCTGCATTGTAAACCACTACAATTTGAGAATGTGTTTATTTTGTCCTAAATCCACAAAACACGACCAGTCTCACGCTGTTGATAGTTTCAGTCTCGGGTGCTTGTTTTTTTTTTCCCTCTACCTCACTCTTATTCAGCTGAAACAGTGGAGGAGGAGACTATTATTGTGTACAGCGCCCTCTTGGGGTCAGTTGCAAAGACCGAAGTGGCCCCCCAGCTGAAGCAGATGGGAGCAGTGGACATTGCCAGGTGCGCTCATCGAAAAACATTGCGACTTCATGCACCGAAAGCTAATATAAAATTTTGAGCAGTGGCATTTTGATACAACTGCTATGGGCATCGTTGTCACGAAATTTCGACCCCAACGACATTGTTAGGTTTTCATAATATTGCTTTTGGAAGTCAGTTGTGCCAAAAGTCAGTCAGATCCTGTTTGTGCTAATTAGAAGTTGCATGAAATGAAACTGCCTGCTTGTAATTTTCATAGCGTCAATCATACGTGTGCTTTGCTTTCCTTGCAGGAAGTTTAAAATGGAAGAGCTTTCAGTGAGTTTGCAGGTGGACCCCAGGTGATGGATTGGACCCAGACTATGGATGAACAGATGCACAGTGCCTAGTTACATACAAGGGGCCTGTCTGGCCTAGGTCACAAAACCCATTCGTGAGTACTGTGGTGCTTTTATCCTTCAGCAAGCTACTTTACTGCAATTGCCTCTTTCCACCCAAGTGTATAAATTAAAATGGGTGTCTGTGAGGAGAAAGAACGGACTGCACAGATTGCAGGCTGCTGTGGAAAATATATCTCATGGCCTGATGAGCAGGGGTAATAATCCTCTGTGCATATTAAAACTGCTATATTAGAATAACTTAACACACCCAGTAACATGAGCACCCATCAATTTTGTAAGATACCCAGAGAAAGGAGGACCGTCATTGTATTAGACCAAGATTTCTCTGGAGTTTGCATAGTCCACCTACTATTGTGTAATTCAACAACCAGAATTAGAAGCCATAACTGCGATGGCGCAATGCTCGTGGACAGGTGGTGCGCATGCATCAAATGCCTCTTCGACCAGTAGGGTGTCGTGATTTGCCAATTTGCCGCATGTCAAGCTGACGGATGTGCGCATTAGTGTCAGTGCCACTGCACTTTTAGCATCTTGTCGGATTAGTCTGTAGCAGTTAAACCACGCAAATTTTGCAAACTCCAAACCCAAGAACTAGTTATTTTTGTGTACCAGTTCTATATGAGACCTCCATCAGCTTAAAGCACTACCCACTGGGGGCGCTAATAGTCCACTCCATGGAATCGACATGGAATTCCCTGTGGCCCTGCTGTTGCTGTGTTGTGAATGCCCGCACTGGTTCTACACGCAGAGTACCAGCATCTCTGGTACATCAGGACAAAAGTGTAACTCGGCAGATTTCAAACCATAAAATGTAAAGTAATTCAAAAGAGGACACGATAATAATTAATCCAATTTATGGATAACACAGCACGTGGTCTTCTGTAAAATTGTTGGTAATGGTGTCCTTTTTGATGGTTTTACTCATGCATGTACAAGTTGTGTTATTGTAACAAGTTGGAAAAGAGTGAATTCCTCACAGAAATTAACTGTTGGAAATTGACGAACCACAGAATATGCTAAGAGGTCTTACAATACAAGTTAACAAAATACTATGTACATACATTTTATAGGATGGCAACTAAAAAATTTTAAAAATTTAAGACTGAACAGTCTGGCTTTTAGCTTGTGATTATGTTAGCTTGGGTCGTCAGTAATGATTCTGGCTCTGTGGACAAACCTGCCCTAAAAATGGCGTTTAAGTGAGAACAGGTTTTTTTTATCAGACGATGGTAGCTGCGAGTCCAATGTGTATACGCGCTCACCTCACAAGAACACATAGGCCGAGTTTGGGCGGCTTGTTCTCGTATGTTCACGAACAGCTCAATTTGTTGTACTTGGGTCAGCCACTTAAACGCCGGGAATGTACAACATTCTTCCAACATTTTGAGGTTCACCAGACTTTATTTACAGCTTAAAGCTTTCACCAATATACTTAATATACTCAAACTCGGACCAGTGAGTGGAGGACCAAAGAATTAGCCCATCCACCTCAAGCAAAAGCACCTATATCGTTTAATGTCCTATCATAAGATCAAGCATTAATTGAGCCAGACAGTTCTTGGACCAGTTTACTGCTGTGTAAATTATTGTAAACATAAAATGTAGCTCTGATTTTACCCGTTCGGTAGAAGAAATTTGCCAGATCAGGCCAAAACTTTCCCCCTCTTCCTTTTACCACCTTCCATCAGCGCAAGTGTGAATGTTTCAAACTGTACATGTATTTCATTGTGTGAAATAAACATTAAACCAATGGCAAGTCATCAATTACAGCTACCCTATCACTGATGCTTCGCTTTATGGTTTTAAGATTAATCATCGATTCGCACTTTACGGTGCTTGACAAGGAGAAGTACTTGTAATCCAAAGCTATTCTCTATCTGCTGCATCACACACTTCTTTATTGAATTCCAGTGAAGAGAAATAAAGGTACATAGTCCTTGAATGTGAGTGCCAAAAATATGTCATCAAATACCTGTCGTCGCTCTTTGGTCGACATGAAAAGTTCAAATAAGTGTTATGTTAAAACTGTGTTTCGCATATAGTACAACGTATATATGGATATTAAAGTTTTTGTTTCAACTATACCATGAGGCTTGTATTTGGCAGTGTGGCCATTACACGAACTGTACAAATTCTTGTGAAACATATCACTCCTATCCTTGAATGCAAGGCAGTGTAAACTGCATTGAGGTGTCAAAAAACACCCCATTAGCATTTCCCAAAAAATAAACTGCTTCAGAGTACAAAAAGAGGACTATTTCTGTGACTTTTTTTGTCAAACCTGAAGTTGACTTTTGAATTAACTGGAAATTTCTTCCAACATTTTGAGGTTCACTAGACTTTTTATTTACAGTTTAAAGCTTTCACCAATATACTTAATATACTCAAACTCGTTATCACACATTTTAACATTTTGATTTTGTACAAAAATCTCAGTCTCGGGCAACGCTACACAAAATTTGAATCTGTATATTTTTACGACTTTCAGAGACAATCAAATTTCTTAACCAGACTTGCTTCTTGAACAGACTTTTTCACAGACTGAAACCTTTGGCCATGATTACTCCAAATTACTGTGGTATTAGATAAAAAATATGGCAGTGAAACAGCTGAAAAGCACCAACTTACAAAAATCCCTCCCTCTACAAATTACACACTGGCCATGAATAATAGAATGGCACAAGAAAAGTCATGAGCACGGCACTAACAGTGTTGTAATCGAGTACTTTTCAAGTACAAAGTTCAATGCCCAAACATTGAACTGTTTATGAGGGAACAGAGCTGAACATGGACGTTGGATGGTAAATGCACGAAGGTATGCTGAAATAAATCTAAGACCTAAGGCTCCTCCACTTAAGTAACAATTAAGTATTCAGGGTAAAAAGTGCTTGGCAAGTACTTTTTCAAGTACCTTTGTTGCAAACCTTTATTTTTATTCAACAGTGATAGTCTGAAATCATGATTCTATTTTGTGACATGATCTTTGTGAAGTAATCATCCAATGCACATGTTGTCCAGCTTTGTCCTTCCTAACCAGATAAATATTTGACCAGTGAATTTGGTACTCCACGAGTACTCAACACAACATTTAACCAAACAGTGTAGTGCATTGGACTACCCTGCTGGTTGGTGTTTGTCAAGGTAAGATTACAAATGACAAAACGTATAATATGCTGTCTATGGAACCAAGTGCCTTGTGTTAAAAGTCTTGCTTCTGTATTACTGGTTTATCTTTTGGGGGGGTGGGTTAGGTGTCTTCTTGTTAATTTGTGTTTTGTTAATACCACCTTAATGTTTTATTATGCAGTGTCAACATATTTTTCTTTTTTTTTTCTACCAGTTTGCAGTCCATGCACTTTTAGCGTTCATTAGCTGATACAACCCAAATTAAATCAAATAGCCAAGAGGTAGGATATTGCACATACATGTACTATACCTTCTATATGGGAGCCTGTAAGGTCAGATAGTTTCAAAAGCCTTGGTGAAAATACATTTACATCAGGGACAACTTTGCTGAAGCTAGAAAACACATGGGTTTCCTTAATACAGGTACATCTGCAGTGTCGATACCAACAGGCTACTAGTTGAAATTCTGTATGACTAATTGCTTCTGACTAGCCACCAGCTTTTTCATTTTGAGGGTCCTGGCAACGAACTTTTCTCAGACTCCAACATCATTCTCTTCTTGCATGACAACCACCTTTCGGGGTTAAGTGTATCAAAAAATAAACTTTCACAAACCTTTAAAATTGTCCATGCTTTTTCAGACAATTGAGGGCGCTGTTGCTGAGATGTCATGCAGGGAAGACGGCGGGTTTTTCTGTTCTAAATGTGAACCCAAAATTTGCTCACCAAAAAACATACCTGAGAAATGTTGCCTGATGGCTTACTGCTGTGAAATTCTACAAGGATGACAACATTTAAGGGTATCCAGTCATGAGTGTCGCAAAGATTTTTTTGGGGGGTGGCAAGCATTCATCAGCTGCAAACTGATGAGCCATTAACAGCAAACGAGGGTCAATTCCAAAGTATTTTCGAGCAAGTAGGTGATACTCATCCCGTTTCCTCAATTTGTCGTTTTTCTTGCTTTGTTTTTCTGATGAACCATTAACAGCAAACGAGGGTCAATTCCAAAGTATTTTCGAGCAAGTAGGTGATATTCATCCCGTTTCCTCAATTCGTCATTTCTCTTGCTTTGTTTTTCTGTTTTGGATTGATCTTTTTTTCCGACCTCATGACACTCATGGTTTCAGTATTGCATTGCATGGACCTTTTGTATGTGGGTTTCCTAAACCTGTCAGCCGAGTTCTGCCATCAGCTAAAAGCCGGCAGCAAATAAAATATGTACCAGCATCCTGCCTACTCAACATTATTGAACAGGAACTGAGCGGCCTCGGGACGCCGCATGACCCGCGGCACCTTGAACTGGTTGACGGACACGCTGCGCGTTTTCAGCGAGAACCGCTTGAGCCGCTTGAAGGAGCCTCGGCGGACGATGTGGACTACCGCGGGCGCGATGCTGCCCTTCTCCCGGAAGGAGTTGTAGACGAAGGACTGCTGGCGTAGGTTCTCGTCAAGCTGGATTGAAAATGTGACGAGGAAGATGAGTCATCTTCTTTCCCACTGTCGTACATATAACTGGATCCCACAAAAAGAGTCATATGCCCATGTTGTTTGAGTAATTTTGCTGCAGTTTGCATTAGCATGGGCATCGCTGGACCATTTTGAACGGGGAAGGTGCCGCATGAAAATTGCCCAATAATATGCGCAATACGAGTGGACTGTATTTCCCTTCCTTTCATCTTCATTCTCCATTCTTCATTTTTTTATTTTGCCGACAGACCATGATTTTGCCAACAGAACTAACCAAGGGGGGGTGTGACACCCCCCTCTTGTGACTCATATGAGCATTAGAAAGAGCAAACTAAGCTCTTTATTTAGATTTACCACTCAGTTTGCCGTGCTGATGCAAATGGAACTTTCTGGGTGGAAACCACCGAGGTTCCTATTAAGTTACATCATGCAAGTTTCTTCTAAAAGTTTCCATTTAAGTGGTGTTAGCCACTTCTGACTCAGTCTGATAGATTGGGGGACATATTTCTTGTAAGTAACTTTGCATATATCATATCTGAGCACACAAGCAAATTCTCTGCAATCCCATTAACCAAACAAATAGGTACCTGCAGCTTTTGTTTCTCGTCTAAGTGGACCGGTGCCTTGGCGTCCTTCTCGTTGGACAGCTCCACAAAAACAATGTAGTGTGGGAACGAATTGTCACCTGAAAAGAGTGCAAACCGAGCTGAACTTTGGGGTGGAAATTTCCAGCCAAACCTTGAACCCTTGTGAGAACGGTGCGTTTTCATAAACCCTGCCTGAAATTTGTGGCGATAAATCCCATCAAACTCCATACTTCACTGTATGTGCGCAGCGCACGAGTACATGCATAATTTTGTCCAGCAAATGTCATTTGTGATGACCCTCGACTTGTATGTCAGTCCACTCAGCTCTTTAAATTATCATTTGACAAATACAAGATAAATGTGGTATCATCACACGCAGACAACAGTTTCAGCGAGCACCCTCAAAGCAGGTTTTTACATACCAATGTGTAGCTTATAACTCACTGGCTCATTAAGAAAATCAAACAAGGTGCGGCAGATGTTTTTATAAGGTGAACAACAAATATGGCTGGCTTTTTTTCCCCAAACACTCAAGAAAAGGGTTGGTCAGGCAAAAGGATTTGAATGCCGTATTTCTTGTTTCTCCCCCCCCCCAAAAAAAAAAAAAATTGACAAAAGCAAGAATTCTGGCAACAGCTAGAAAAAAGTCCCAGGATGAGGTTTCATATTAAACCGATGACCAACTTCACTCACTGGCGTCTTGCTTTTCCAGCAAGGGGCTCTCTGCACAGGAATAGTCCACCAGTGAAACTCCCTCCCAGCCGTCCACTGTGTCTGTCAGGGCCTTGTACAGGATATCCTCTGATGTCTTCTCTCCTCTTACATTCAGGTACTGGCCTTTCCTGACGAGCACAAGCAAATCCAATTGGTTCTTACTTGAAGAGTGAGTGTAGTGGCTATAGTAACGAAAGCCATAACGCACTGCCACCAGACCTGCTTCAATAAGCCTTTTGTGAGTTCAGTATCAATTAAATCTGGTAAACTGAGTTATCTACTTACACATAAACAACAATGTGAATTCCCCTGACTAAAGATACTGTTGCTGTACCTCTGGTAATTTCGAGCAAGCTTTTGCATAGCAACCGCCATCTCTGGAATGGACTGGTTCCTTTGTGCCCCTCTTATCCATTGAGAACAGTGCATTGTTGCAAGGCGTCTCTTATGTAACTAAGCAAAAGCTTGCCCTGAATCACCAGGCATAGCAGCAGTGTCTTTAATACGGGGAATTCATTGTTATGTTCATGTGAATTCAAAGAACTCGGTGTGCCAGATTTTATCCCATTTAACTCGCAAAGGGCTTATTCCTCCGGCTGTACTGATGCAAACATGGTTTTCACTTTCAATTTTACAATCTTGACCCTAAATGAAATACACGTTCTCAGCAATGTCTCGGGTACATGTAAATGCAGTTGAAAACAACAGGGAAAAGTAGTTAAAGGACAATACTGTCCCTCTGGAATTGCCGTCACCTAAAAAGAGAAATCAATGTTCAGTCAGTGATTTCTACCTGTTTCATTTTCGGATGTCCTGTTAGATCATTTTCCATGTTGTATTGCTGTGAACCTTGACTAAATTTGTGTACCTGTTTTCGACCATGGCTACATATTACTAGAAGGCTTAACTTTCCTTTCTTAAAATAACATCATGTTATTTTACACATGCTGGTTCACTGCCCTAGGCCTCTTTTTCTTGAATCTTTGACTTCAGAGCATCAGCCACCAACCCCCTTGAAAAATCCCAGACATTGACATCCTGCCCTCTCCGCCCTGAGAAGAAGCACCCCCTCATCGACTGAAAAGAGCCATGTTGGTTAGAATTGTTCAATTTGCTGGTAGCAACGCAACCGTTACACATGCAAAGGAGCCCCTGTCGCTAAAAAAAAATGGCGCCCTCTCGTGGTCCAGCTCGGGGCTCATTTCCATTAAAAAAATCGTAAAAATCTGTGATTCATCAGCACAGACCTTACCTGTATTTGAGCTCAACCACTGGACACTCGTTGTAGAAGTCCACAACTTTGACGACGTCACCCAGGCGAAACCTGTACAGTCCGCCGGCATTAGTTATCACCAGCTCGTAGGTTGAGCCTTTGGTGACTTGATCGATGAACAAAGTCTGCGGTTGGTCCTCAAAGCTTCATGGAAAAGAAGAAAAAACCTGTCACAAAAAACTCTAGTGTCTGTTCAAAAAAACTGCCCTGTTTTTCAAATGTTTGAGTTGATTATACATGTACATTATTTTAATCAGATCTGTTACAGATTACTTTTTCAATGATAGTTAAGCTTTCTTTCCTCTTTCGCCAGTTTAAAATCTTTAAAACTATGCTAAGGTTGTTGTAAAAGTTGTCAAACTTACATCATAAAAAGTCTGAGCCCTTACTAAAAAACCTTAAAAGGTTGGCCGACAAAAGAGGAAAGTTGCAAAGAATCTTCCTATTACGACTTTTCAGCAGTTTTTCATGTTACTATTTTACAAAACAGATACAAAAGTGACCGAGTAAAATTTGCCAGAATTTTTTCATACCAAAAAGAGTGTGTGTCAATGCACTCATTATGCAAACATTGTTAAATCTAATTGGTTCCTTATAGAACTGTATTTTCGGGGTTAAACATTCCCCAAATTACTCTCATTCTAAGGCAACACAGCACACTGTTGTACCTCTATGCTCAGGTGTGTTCATCTTGTGTAAACATTTCACAGATTTGTGCACATTCAGATGAAAATCGGTCTAGCTCCCTGCACGCCAAATGGACACTGTACAAGCCAAGGCACACAATATATGCTCCTGTGTGGCTGTCGTGTAAAGATGGCATAGTGCCCTCTACAGTAGAAAAAGCACAGCTGATAGCTTAAAAAGGCCAGGCATTCAGCTACAGAGGGAGCCCCAATGGGTTACCAATAGTCAACTTACATTTTGTCCACGGGGATGAACTCGTAGAACATGCTCCGTGGGGCCAGTAGATACTGCCGCTTTGATCTCTTTGGCCAGATGTTAACACCAATCAGACCCTCTGTTGCCGCATACAGAGCCGAGTATGTAGGAATGTCTAGGACGGGGGAAAAATGAAATTTATTATCTGAACGATAGAAGCATTTTCAAATTGGATTCAATGCGACAACTTTTGATATTTGTTTTTTGATATTTTTATTGCTTACCTGTGGTATAACGTTCATCTAGTAGCTTCCCGTACATCTGAAAGGGACCGGAATCCACGGCCGCGACAATGTGCAGATGCGGCCAGATTCTCTTAGCAATTCCGTCAAAGCCCTTTTCAAACTCCTTGCGTAGCTCTGCTGCCCTCTCTGGGTCGGGTTTGATTAGCTGATCAAGGCGCTGGCGGACGTCTTCGTCAATCTGGAGACTGCGCGAGACGTGCCCATGCTCAATGTCCTGCACCAGGCTGGGCCACTTGCGCTCGAGCTCAACGAAGGCGGTGTGGACCAACGACGCAAAATTAGCCTCGATCATGCCCAGGTTGCGGTCCATCAACCCAAAGAGGAGGTGGACGTACAGGGCCTCAGGCTCGGTGGTGATGTCATACCCAGCCAGAGGGGTCGTGTAAAGTGGGAGGAGCCCCTTGGTGGATTTGGGGGAGGAGGAGTTCGGGCCCACGGGTATACCGCCGGAAGACACACGCGACTTGGGTGTGTAAAAGAATTTAAGGATCTTCTGCAGGTTGTTGGTCTGCGGGTAGGCGTCATACATGGCATTGTACAGGACCGAAATTCCCTGCGTGAAGAAGGCTAAGGACTGGCCTTTGGTCATGGGGATGATGCTGCTCTTGCCTGACGTTCCCGAAGTGACGCCGAGGATGATGGGTCTGTCCGGGGTCAAGATTCTGTCCTCCCCTGCCGCGACACGCTCAATGTATGGCTTGATGTCGTCGTACTTCATTAGCGGGTGCTTGCGACAGAAGTCGTCCCTGTCGGCAACATCCGCAAACTGGAACTCCTGACCGTACGCGAGGCCCGAGGCCGCTTTGATCCGGGCCAGGAGGATCTCCTCTTGGACTGCCCGGCAGTTCCTGGTGTCGCTCTCCAGCCTATTCCTCATTCTGTTGCCAATGAGGCCGATGAGTTTGTTGATGATGTACTGTCTCACCAGACTGTCCAGGGTGTGCAGTTTGGACCGTCGCTGGTGGTAGATGTCGTGAGCGACCAGTACTGTGGACACCACGGCGACTGCACCAAAACCTTCGGGAGGGGATGAAAAAACGAACCTCAAAAACACAGTTATATTTCAGTTACTGAAGGTGTGTGTAATGCTCAGGTACATGTTATTAAAAAAATGCCATGGAGTTAACCCCTTCATACGGAGAGCTGTCCACAGCCACGACTTTGTGTGAGGATTAGTGCATTCCACACATACAGTCTATTCACCATGCAGCTGCTGGTTTCAGTGTGGGCCTGCTGCTGGACAAAGCTTTGCATACTGGGCATACCGCAGCCCAGCAGTCATGGCGTGAAGGGGTTAAGTAACTTGACAGGACCCTGCTGTGCTCCTGTCAAGGTTAATACAGAAATGAGAATATGCTGTCACTGACACCATCCTCTGACAAAGGTATTTTGCATCCATGTGTAACTCTACATTTTTCTAACATTTTGATAAAGTTTTGAGAGGTAAGTGATGAAAGATGTTGTGACAATTTGTCGTGGCTAGACTATAGTTTGATGGGATGCACTGTCTACTTTTTTTGCACTGTTCCAGTACACTGAACACCGGAACCAGACCAGTCTGTAATGAAAAGATGTCAGACATTACTTCCCTTTGAAAAAACCTTCAGAGGGATGAATCTACCAAAAATAGAAGGAAAGCATCTCTAGGAAGTAAATTTAAAATCTTGAGAAAACAATGAAATTAAAGGAAGAAAAGAAAAATGGAACAAAAAATTTATTGCAAAACAGGATTTGAAGCCATGATCACAATGACATGCTTGATGATGTTACGCCCCAACTATGGCATCAGTCCCAACTATAGTTGGGCCCGTCAAAACTAGAGTGGTACAGTTGGGTCGGCCAAACTACAGCAGAGAGGTCCTGTGTGCATGATGCGCCCAGCATGTGCCAAAGTCATATTGTTTACAAATGTCATGTCACTGGTCATAGGGCTAGATGAACAGATGAAGTGCCACATTTTAGATGAATTGTGTCAAGTGTGAGACACATTGACTTGGATAATGTTGAGACATTTCACACAGACGTTGGTCAACAATAGTTGGGCCAGCCCAACTGCAGCACTACAGTTGGGACTGTTCCAAGTATAGTTGGGACTTATGCTATACATGCTATAGTTGGGGCGCCGGGCGTAACAATGACATGGATGAGCAGTGTACTACATCAAGCCATCAATAAGCCTTAATGCTAATACTACATGGCTGTTTTTGTACAATGGTGGAAAGATATCATGGGAAGGAAAAAGGAGCAATGCTTGCTCCTTTTTTCTTCCACAATGCCTTTCTACTATTGTGCAAAATCACTCACGCAGTATTTTATGTTTAACAGTGGTATGATGCCCATGATCACGATGATGACTCCATGTAGTTCAACTCATCAACAAAAAGAATGTTTTTACCTTTAGCAACAGTTCCTAAAACACTCATGATGTCCGTAAAATATTATTTTATGCATCTAGTATGTCTAGGAGAAGGAAACTCCTCTGGAGGCAATTTCAAGGTCGCCGCGATCAACTCCGCATTCACGGTATCCGGCGGTACCATCTGCTCTACGTACGTCCGGCCGGGTGGTGGGCCGGGCATGGCACCGCGCGGCAAGTTCTATTTTGTGGAACAGCGCCCTCAACTGTTCAAATCCCAATCATTGTTCGCCTTCTGGCTCTTTTTACCTTTCCAGCGACGTTCGCTTAAATCATCCTACCTCCGTGAGGAGACCAACTGGTGCTTCTTCAAAGGTAGGCTTGCAAAAATCATCGATGATCTAGTTCCACAGAAAACTGTCCGGGGGCAAAGTACCACCACCATGGCTCACTCATCTTCTATGTTTAACAAGGAAACGGGGCGCCTGTATGTTCGAGCAAAGAAAAGTGATTTTCCCTTCACATTGGGAGACCTTTAAAACTTTAAAGATCGGGAACTACTGGATGCCATCAAAGATTGCAACAAAGCAGATGCCTTTGCAAATTTTCGAGTGTCTTCAACAAGGGAAGTTGTTTTTCAGTACTAGTTATGCCAGGTGATGCTAACTGAGACATGTCTGGTATTCTTATTTCTGTGAGTGGAGTTTGAAACTACTTGAAACTATCAGTGTCTCAAAATCACGTGGTCCACTGATATGTGAGTCCTGCCAGAGCATTTATAATAGCTGCTACCGAGATTGCATTCATATTTCAACTATCGCCTGATACTGGGTTATCACCAACAGACTGAAAATTGCCTAATATTACCCCTTTATTCAAGAAAAATTCCCCATCAAACTGTTGGTCTATTTCCGTGACGTCTACTTGTTGCAAGTTACTGGAACATATTATTATGGACGGTCATCTCATGGAACATCATCAAATTCTTGTTGAAATTAAATATGCTTTCTGCAAGGGCAGATCACGAGAAAGCCAGCAGCGACTACTGGTTTAAGCGTCTTGGACTTTGCTAAAGCCTTTGATATGTCTCATTAAAAGCTTAGATATAAGCTTAGCCATTATGGATTGGGGGGATAAATACGTGGATCTCATCAGCATTCCTTAGTTATCACCTCCAACAAAAAATGGTTAACGTACGGTGAATCGTCAACGTGGCGTCCTGTCACTAGTGGAGTCCTCTAAAGTAACAGTGACTTGGACACCACCTCCCCCAGAGGCGTAACTACTGGATTTATAAATGACATCTGCAAGGCAGTAAAGTAGGGGCAGGAAGTATTATCAGGCTGTTTGCAGACGATTGCCTACTCTAAAGAAGCATAACCTCAGTGCAGATGAAAAGCATTCTAGAATGATCTCAGTAACCTCGAAAAATGGGCTACCGCCTATGCGTTTCAACATAAGCAAGTGCAAAATCACACGTTTAACACGACAGAAAAATCCTGGCGCGATGTCCTATACCATGTCTGGTGAACTTCTCATAAAGAAACTACAGATTTCCACCTACTTGGGCGTAATCATTCAACATGATCCTGGACGCGAGACGCAAACAAATGCACAGAGTCATCGAAGTACTAAGAACGCTGAATTTTATTAGGGGTAATACATGTGCTCCAGATCAATCAAAGAGAAGCTCTACCTGACACTTGTATGACCCCCCTTGGAATATAGTATTGCTGCCTGGAATCCAAACAGAGTGAATCACATATCATCTACTGAGTATTAAAGGTTCAAAGGAGAGCTGCCAGATTTGTTTGTGGTGACCACTCAAGAAACAACAGTGTGACAAATGCTGGCAACCTTAAACTGGGACACCTTCGAGTTGAGACGTGATACCTATCAGATCAAAACCTTATTCAAAATCAGACGTCAAGCCATCAAAGTAAATATTAGTTATATCTTGAAACGTAAAACTAAGGGGTTAAGGAGGGGGCAATTTCAGGGTTGTAGTAGTAGTAGTTGAACACCCGTTTTCTAAAACTTATTATGGAACAATCTAATTTAACCAGACCTTCATTGATTCGCCTTCGTCAGTAGTTTCCAGTCAAAGGTGCAAATAACTACACTGCAATAACCCCCTGAAATCAAATTAGCTTTAATTCCTTCTCCTAATGGCCTCCTCCTTAATCTCCCCATTGGAGAATTCAGGAGGAGTTTACACGAAGTACCAAGCAAGGGGTAAGCTCATCACCAACGGAAACAAGTTCATTTATATTGGCTCATTCTGCAGGAACCTGTCATCTGTAACCGGGATATGTGATGCAATCTTGAAGAAAAACTCATAGGAATGATATTGGAAAATTCATTTCTTCTTCCTTGAGAGTGCTACATCATGTGTATGACGATAAAATTGTGCACTGTGTTGCACATGTGCTGGTTACTTGAGCCGATCACCCCTCAGCACAAGCTGGAAGGCGCTGAGGAATTTGTGCTGTGCTTGATCTACTGCGCAAAGAAGACCAAAGTCACGGTGAAAAAACTCGGAATGATGAAGACGCAACCTTTTCTCTTGATGGGGATGCCACTGAAAAGGTGGAAAGCTTTGAGTTTCTGGGCTCCATCATTAACGTCAAAACTGACATGCACCCATGAGATAAAGCCCAGACTAGCAATGGCCTTGATTGTAGATAAAACATAGCCAAACTGTGAGAAAGCAAACTCCCATCGTCCGTTCGACTGTAAAAATCATCAGCCTTTGCTGTGGCATAATGGCTCTGAATCCTGGACGATGAAAAACGCAATAGAACAAGTCTGGGTTCCTCTGTTCTGTGGTGCTATCGACGTACGTATCCCGAGGATACCATGGTCTGAGAAGAAAATAAAGGAGTGGGTACTCCAAGAGCTTGGGTTTCGGGAAATTTTGCGGGCTCTATGGCCAAATAGGCCTAATTGACATACTTCAGCCATGCCACCAGACATCACTGCCTACAGAAAACAATCATCCTAGCCGCGGTTGAGGGAAAACGCAAGAGAGGAAGATCTGTTAGCAAGTAGTGGCTTAACGACATCAAGATGATTACTGGCCTGACCTGACTATCACATACGCCAGTGGAGCTGCGGCTGTCAGCATTCGATGGCATTTTTCTAAGATCACAATCACGCCTTTTATGCAATGTGACCTTGAGAGCGAGGGTCTACGGCAAATCTAGATCTGTTCCAGTCCCGAGGAGGCCTAGTGCGTGGAAAGAAGGAGTGCGTGAGAGAAACGAAAAGGGAATTGTGCCCTCTGGTTCCCAACAATGTCGACTAAGTTGTCGGTGATTTTGTATATCGTGACCAGGCAACTGTGTCCTGTAGAGATGGCCCGTTAAGATCCCTGTACTAGCAGAGACACTGCTTGCCCTGCTCATACTAATCTCGCATAACAAAGCGGGCTGCATTGCGATAAATCTGATCAACCTTATTCAGTGTTCCGCTGCGTGTGGGTATCCTATGATGCTTGGCAAGCATATTCCACTATAAAAGTGGTGTAGGCAGCTTCCTTTTCCTTATGACTGCGATGTCTGGGGTTGTGGGACGAGAAAGCCAAGGTAGAATTGGCTCGGATGGTGCACACGCAGGTATTAAAGGTGAGATGAGGATCGAGATAAACTCCAAGTATACTTTGCTGACTGGCTTCTTGCAGGATATCAGTTGCCATGAGCAGTGTGTGACGCAAGTAATGTTTGGTAATTCAAAGAACTAATTGATACTTCTTGGCGTTGAGCCTTATCAATGTTGAACAGCATTGAGATCTCTTTGAAGAATGGTTGTGCCTCAGGGTGCAATGCGCCACGCTGTCGTCAGCAAGCAGCCTTGTTTGAGAAGCAGGGATCGGTCATTGGTGAAAATTAAGAAGAACAGGGAGCCTGGCCCAAGACACGACACTGTGATACCCCCGATGTTACTCGTGCTTCGGTGCTCTACTAGCCGTCACTTTGGACAACTCAGTGGAATCGTCTGTAGAGGAATTCCTGGATCCAGTCTTATAAGACTATATACCAAGAAATAACTGGGAAGGTCTTACAGATGATGACACCAACATCTTGTTTTATAGATACTAAAGCCATACGAGAAACGAGTGACTACGAAGCTGTTATCATTGTAAACAGAAACCCGGAATTTGCATTTTAAAGGAAGTCAATAGGGGCAATATGGATGCTGCCCAATTGAAATCTCATAGAAATCAAGCAAAGATGGCGCATGGAGTTGGGAAATGAAAACTGGACCTTGCTGCGGGATGCTATCATCAACACTGTTACTGCACACACACTGATTAATTGAAAAATAGGTAATCTGAGGATCGTCCTTGCATGACTTATTAAATAAAGAATTAGAATTATAAGACACAAAAGCGTCAAAAGATAAAAAAAGACTGATAAGCCGGAAGACTGGAGATTGTTTCGTTCATTACGAAACGACATTCAACAGGAATTCGATTAAGCCAAAATATATGCTCGACACAGAAGGTCTCTGAGCGGCGCAAAAAATCTGGTCTTATAGAAAAAAAATTATGTGGTCTCGTTTGTGACAGTAAGAAGGAATGCAGAGGCTTTGATTGCACAGTAACATTATAGTAGCGTACGTAGGCCTATTCACCAGGGAGGATACATCATCAATACCAATAATATGCAGTTACCACGGCTCGCTACGATGGAAACTTTCGCTGTTGATCATGCAGGGGTACTTAAGCTGACATCTTATCTCAATCCTTACAAGTCACGTGATCTAGTCCAGTTCCAGTCCAATGAAGGAGTGTGTGCACGCGATAGCACCAATTCCGACAACCGATCTCCAGCCAATCACCATACAAACAGATAATCTGCCCTCTACTGTAAATGGCTATCAGCCAATGTTTGAACTTAGTGCAGGGGGATCATCACCCCCAAAAAACTACAGAACAAGAATTCTTTCCCTTTGGGCAATCCTTCAGGAGCTGATTATATTTTGTCCTTTGTTTATTTCTGTTCCAAAAGTCAGTGGACTCGCAACTAGTGTTGTATTCCAGTCCATTAAAAGTCCCTGCAAGTCCCTGTAAGTCCATCACAAGTCATCCAGTCTTAAGACAATTCACAAGCTGTTCAAATGAGCTGTGACAAAAACATTCACCCTGTTACTTATGACTGGCATAGCGAAGAGACTCGTGACTGGACTTGTCAAGGGACTTCGTAATGACACTGATGTTGGCATCCCTCATAATTACCTCACCCCCGAGGAACATTTCTGAAGAAACAGACATAACCAGTGCTATATGCTCCGTGGCGATGCTCCTCTCAAACACTAGGCCTACCGAAAAAATAAGTTTTCTCATAGACGATTGCACCTGAGTATAAGCTTCCCTTTGGAATTATTCATCCGACATCATCATTGCTATTTAAGACATCCCACGAAAAATATCTTTCATCACGAATTTCATGTATGTCCTGCACCGCTGCAAAGTCAAACGTGGGCGATGATGATAATGCCTATCGTCAGTAGCGGCGCGACGATGCCTACTCACTGCCACTGTACTAGCGCAGGGCAGAATCACCAACCACGGACAATTGAGGGCGCTATGCATTCCACCGAAATTTCTCTTCGGTCGGAAGACAGCGTCTGTAACAACCGTGCGAAAAGTGTAAGTAAATTTATTTTAACGAGTGATTTCAGACTGGAGAACGTAAATTTTCTCTCCATGAATAAAAAAAACATGCTGAGATTTGTCCATCAACACAAGTCGATGAAAAGAAATGGGTTTTTGGGGGGCTTCAAATTTTCCGCTCTGTACACATGGTAGCCCCACTATAGTACTACCGTGGCACGGACTATCACTCCGTCCTTAGCTTAGCCACACATCCGTATGTGCAATTTCGTGTCGGCGTATTGAACATTCCGGCGCACCCACTTATCATCGTGGGCGCAATTTTTTTTTACGAAAATTCTAATTTTGAAGCCTTACCTTTATTAATTGGACCAGCAGCACACCTTGGGAAGTAGCTGGTGGCTTCCCGTTTTGACATCTCTGAGTGTCTGGTAGCCCATCACCTCCTGCCAAGATGATGGAACTGAATTTACATCGGGCAGATTATATCCAGGTAGGCAATCAGGTTCACATTGTCCTTCAAATTAGACACTAAACCAGTCTACTCATGGATAGAGTTTATCACACACTGATGGTTGACCTGAACTACACTAGAACCAATATTATATCCAGCAGGAATCAAGGTCCGTCTGATGTGAGTTAAACCCTCTGAAACTGCTAATGTCTAAAAGCTTGGAAAGATGCCTTTTATGTTACCTCTTACCACAAAAAGTACATTTACAACAGAACATGGAGGTGTGTTATGTCATGGTTATGTAAACCCTAACTAAAAATATGTCTCTGATTCACAAAGATTGCCAGAAACATGTTCGAGGCACTGGGAAAAAACGGAGAACCAAAGGTGGTTACACCATCCAACAGAGACTAAATACAAGTAGATCACATCGTTAACAAAACGTCAGTTTTGCTCAATATGTAGCATATTTCTCACCACTGCTGCTCACTTTTCACCTAGAAGAAAGCACCCTTCACTGTACGGAACAACAAATTTATGTTGGAGATATGACCAAAACATCCACTCATTTTCTGCCAATTTGGACTCTGAATGAACCAACTCCAATCTTTGGTTCTTGCCTTGGTTGGAACAATGACGTCACCTAATTAGGCATAACCTAATTCGCAAAAATGGCAAAACGGTGATTAGAATGGAAATGCATTTCTGGTCTGGGTGGCGAAAGCACGCTCCATCTTTCAGATTCAACTTCAAGGCAGAAGTCATTTGGCATAAAAAAGGTTTCCCAGTACGGGAGACATCATTCAGTTTGGATCGAAATGCCCACGAAATCAGTTCTGGCTGATCTCTGGTTTATTAGTTGGTGTGTCATTTGTCAGGTCGGGGTCACCACTCCCCGTACCATGCGGCTCCTGCCTGAGAAGAAAGCTAAGGCACCGCAGCGGGTGGCTGTAGCCGACCAGACTGGTGTCCTACAGTGCTTCAACATAAAGAAACGGGAACCGGTGGTAAGTCGTAGCGTAAGGCCTGTACAACTTCCTCCATTGCATCACTGCTTTGAATTGGTCAAAATCAAACACCTACTTTTTGCAGTATATTGATAATTCAGACACCGGTTGCGGAACCATTTTCAAATTAGGAGGGGGACAGTTGTTAGACCATCAGACATCATCCATTAATAGGCCGATCCATTGAGCCCCACCCTGTCATAGGATCTGCAAAAAGTGGCGGGTGAGGGGACCAGGCCCCCCCCATCACAAAAGTCACTTTCACCCTTCTTCGAATGAAGCTCAGTGTAACTGTTTTGTGTACACAGTGCCATTGGTTAATTGTACACTGTCGGAAAGTTCCCAAGCAAAATGCAGTGTTGTCGATGAGTCCGTAACAAGACCCTGCAGGTCCATCACAAACCATCTCAATCCGTTGCCAAGTCACAAGCAATGCAAAGGAGCGGTCACAAAAGCATTACTCTGTCATTGCTTTCACCCTGATGGGTACAACTGTTCCCTTGGCTGTACTTTTGAGGGGACCTGTGAATGACTTGACTTGCATGCTGCTAAAATGTGTAGACACGAAAGGTTAATATACATGTACTCAGGATTTTTAGGAACTTCTCTGTGCTGCTGAGTTTCCCTATTAATGGGAATGCAAAATTCATATTTATGCCAGTGTCTGGCATTTCTCTTGTGCATACAATGATGTCCAAAATTCCAGGCACAATGGCTGACAATACTTCATAGGTACCAGTTGTAATTGTTGTCACCTCTAAGCTGGTGTCCAACCTCTCTTTTTGAAATCTGTAATTACACGGTAGGAAACAGGGGACCAGTGTCCTACTTTAAGTTTTATTGTCAGGCTAAACGTTGCCATTCTTATCTTAAAAATAAACATTCCGTATTTTTTACCAGAGTGCTTTTAAGACACTACCAGGCCCAAAGATCAACCGGCTGGAGCTGGGCGGGGCCCTGGGCACCCCTCCCGACAAGGTCTTTGTGACCTCAGGGTCAGAGGTCAAAGGCTTCACCAAGAAGGGCAAACAGTTCCTGGGCTTTGACACCAACTTGACGGAGAGCATCAAGACGATGTAAGACACGGACTTTGCATAGTAGTTGATTGACAGTCGGACTATGTCCTAAAGTTGTGGCTATGGCAAGAGCTAACACGTGTCAATGGAAGCCTGTGGCTAAAGCGGCTTGCAGACACTCCCATAGATGCGTGTGCTACTGCCAGTCACAGCCATTGGGTTAGGCGTAGCCATAGACATGGAATTTGTTTGAATTCTTGAATGCACTGTATTAACAGTTTCGACCAATCTGGTCCATTTCACATTAACTCCTGTAATTCTTTTCCGTGAAAATTTTGTCAAAGCATTAGGTTTTTCCAACATTAAAAGACGTGAAATAAACTCACACCTTCAGTGCAGCATGCTATCAAATAGCACTTTGCCACAGACTACGAAATTGAAATCTCGGAATAACAGGTTTTATGGGTACTAAGCTCTCACATTTCTTGAAACTAATATATATCAAAGCAGAGGTTCCAACAGTTCACGATGCTCCGTTTTTTAAAGAGACAAGACAAACAAGGTGATTTAAAGAACAAAATGAAAACTGCGCACTGTTATTCTACCGGCTAAGCCATCCACCCTTAGCAACTTTGAAGGTCGCCATTGTCCTTGCGAATGGGTGCTCATGAAACTTGATGGTTTATTTAGCCTTTCTTCGAACCTTTTATTTCAACACAGAGAATTTCTTAACCAATTGCGTCATCAAGTATGTTTATAATTCTGAATGTTTTGTTGCCTGAATTGTAGGTGGGTGTGCGGAAGTCATCTCTTTCTGGGAGGCAACTACATCTTCAACCATTACGTGGACTGCAAGGACGAGAACTATTACCTCTGTAGCGACCGCATCAACGACATCGTTTGCCTGCCCCTGAGCAGGGTAAAGGAGGTCACGCCCGTCCTGGCCTGCCAAGACAGGGTCCTGCGGGTGCTGGATGCGTCCAACCTGCTGTATGAAGTGGAGGTGGCCGGCCCTCCGCAGACCTTATGTCTGTTTGCCGATGAAGGAGGTATGTACCACTTCAGAAGGGGGGGTGGTGTCACTTACCTCATCAGCACGTTCTTACTTTTGAAAAGTTACTATTTTGAGGAACTTCAGCACCAACACGGTATTTGCTGCAGCGGTTATAAATTTGAAATTGAGGCATTTTATGAAAATTGTGGATATGGCTACTAAAACAATGCAACATTTATGGATAGGGCTTTGCATACTGGGCATACCGCAGCCCAGCAGTCACGGTTAAAAGAATCCCGCCGTGAAGGGATTAAACAGCCGTAGCCAAGCAATGTTTAACAATGCCTGAGGCATACTTTTCGGGATGGCCTACTTTCTCGAGATCACTGAGAGTGCCACCCATGGCTGTATAAATTGCTGTGTCATTTAATCCATTCTTATGGCTAGGATCAACTGTTGGCAGAGTTCTTATCAGTGACAATAGTAATGTGGAAAAGGGACAGCACACAAATCATGTCATTGGAAAAAGACCCCATCTTGCCATATTTTGAAAGATGTGTCATATCCTGTCTGTCTAATCAAAGACTGACAGAATTTTCAGGAAATTCTTGTAAAATTCTCTTTCGTGGTGACGACCAATGATATATGTTTCCCATAACCGGCTGCGATTAATGTTTTCGTCGCATGCTTAACTTGCAGGTGAGGATGGCGAGGAGGTTTTGTACGGCACGTCAGATGGCAAGATCGGACTGGTGCAGCTGGGCAGGTAGGGTGGCAGCGTGAAAATAAAATAAAGCTAAAATAAGGTTTGTTGCATATGGAAAAGATGGAAACTATACTTAGGTGTCGAGACCTGACACCAGCGTATCACCTCGTCTCCGTGCAAGGCTTGTACAACTGCATTTTCAGTAAAGATTTTTATGTCCCTAAGCAAGAAACCTCGCTGTAATGGACCTTTCCCATGAAATAGGTAAAATAGATGGGTGCATGCGGGCTACCACTGGTTGGCAAGCGCGTCCCATCAACACTGTTGGCAGTGTAGGCGAGCTGCTAGTAACCATAACCTGGAGCATTGACGGTCAATCAAAACCATATTACAGCCTTTGCCCGATACTTGAGCATGCTTTTCTCGAAACTAAGTAAAAAGTTTTCAGTTTTCTGAGGATGGAAAGTAGTTCCTTGTCTTTAAGTCTGGCACTCATGTCAAACTATACCAGCACAGACACGGCAATATTGACGAGCACATGGCGATTTGTATTGTCACGTCATAGATTTAAGCAACTTTGCCAACCAGTGGCAGTAATGCGCATGCGCCTGCCTTATTTGCATATATCATGGGAAAGGTCAATTAGGCTTGTGCCTGGTCTCAGCATGCCTTCACGAGGCTTATCTGTCTTTATATGATGTCAACTTTTTCCCCAAGATGCATTTGGGTAAAGTTGGATTGGCATCCCCCCCCCCGAGAAGGGATTTTCATTCACCACGAATTGCTCTTTAATTGTGAACTGCTAGAAGTGGCATTTGTTTTTAGTATTGAAATTTTCGTTTATAGGAAAGTACATATAATATCTTTAAATTTTCATTTTTTTCCGTCTACAGAATGGCCCCAAATCACAAGTGGGAGGTTCCAAACGAGAAACGCCACGGGGGTGTGCTGTGCCTGGACAACTTTGACATCACGGCCGACGGAATCCCCGATCTGTTGGTGGGCAGAGACGATGGTCTCGTCCAAGTGTACGGTTACGACGAATCAGACGAGCCCGTCTTGCGATTCAGTCAGGTGCGTGCCTGAAACATGTTGTTGCACAAAACATGGGCTTTAGATGTTTTACCTCAACATTGTTTCCCTGTAGGCTGTAAAAGTTTTATGCAAATCAGCAGACATGCTGAAATTGGAAGGAAACCATAGAGGGGCTTTGTTCACAAACAAAGCGTAGAATTCCACTTTCAGTCAACAATGACAGAAAGTTCATTTTTGTCTATAAAAACAAAATTAATGGTCGTATTCAAGTGTGTTACTAGTGTAAACGTGTCTATACGCTAGAACGCATGGTCAGCAGGAGTGTCACCCGGGTTAAAAAGGAAAAAAAAAGAGCGTACTCCCGATCAGAATGGCACTTTGCTCTTGCATCACACGGTTGTTCCAACAAAGGTAGTCATTCAATGTTCGAACGATGTCATTTGAGAGTTCTGCGTGCATGCCTACTTCTCATTGCGGTTGATGTACAAGTCCCTGTTTGTCCTTCTTGTAGACGTTGAGTGAGAGCATCAGCTCCATCCAGGGAGGAACTGTGGCCACGCCGGGCTATGATGAGGTGGTAGCGTGTACCTACGCAGGTCAGTACCCATTAGTCAACTCTTGATGCTGGGTGGCGTGGTGCCCTCGTTCGCTCACGCTCGAAGCCAACACCTTGCAATCACACAGACAATGGTATGCCTTTAAACTGCAGTTAGCCTTCATTTGAAGAAGTGTGCGTCAGTGTTGGTTCTTTGTGTGATTTGCACAAGTTTGTGATGTTTCGTTTCAGGCTGGATCCAAGGGCTGAGCACGGAACCGCCCCTCAAGGAGGCGGGGCCAGGAGACAAGGTCAAGGTCAGCCAGGACACCCAGAATAAGATTTCAAGTCTCAAGTAAGTCAGGCCAGTTTTTCAGGGCCATGGGGCAGCGCTGCACTGGTTAAAACAGCGATCTTGGCACCATCCAGTCCAAGGATCGGGTTATACAATCTTTTCTTTGATCTGTACGTACGCGCGCACTCGTTGCAGTTGTTTTCACCGGCCGCGGTGTGGTTGCTACCCATATTTTTGTGAAACTCCCCGATGTCCGCGCTGCCCCATAGATTTTCTTGCGGTCAGAAAATTTGTCAGGACTTTTAAAACTCCAAATGCTTGTTATACTTGACCAGAGCTGAGTTGGAGGGTCTCCAGCGTCGCGTGATCCAGGAGCGGGAGAAGTACCACTACTCGGCCATGAACACCAAGGCCATCTCCGCCGTGCCCTACTTCAACATCAACGACCGGTTCTCACTGAACCGGGACGACGCCAGCTACACGCTCAGCATCGAGGTGCAGGTAGCCATTGACAACGTGCTGCTGCAGAGCGACGTGCCCATCGACCTGCTGGACGTGGACAAGAACTCGGCCGTGGTCAGTTATAGCTCCTGTGATACAGAGGTCAGTAGGTGCACAGATCAGATATAAATTGCAGCCTTTCGGCGTACTCCTCAACTGTTAATTACCTGTGGACGGTATTATTCCACATCAAACTTGGAGGACAAACTTGAGGGATGTACAGTCAGTCCTGTTGCTGTCTTTAACCTTTACTTTTTCTGTCTGATTACTTTGAAAATCTAAAAGTCACAACAGCCTTCATAGCCAGATGGTTGTAAATCTTGAAAAAGCAACGCTTTAGAAGGCAGCCCCTCACAAAAGGCATGTGCAAAAGTACGAAAGAGTTTTTGAAAGTGCAGTATTTGAAATGCAAATGCAGACATCAATGCAGAAAAAGTCACAAAATTCTCCACAACGAGGCTACTAAATTGCAAAATTCAATGGGATGAGAGGTTCAGAGTTCAGTCGATGAAAAGTGATATCAATTCATAATTAGAGATCTTTTAAACAATCGAAAATTTAATCAGAATATAGGATTACGAAATTACGAATTTACAAAAATGGAAACGTAATTGTGCTGGTTACCTGATTGATGGATGAAACACTTCAGATTAATTTCCTTGGATGTAATCCATTTTGTGAAAATTGTTCCGCTGAGAAATGTACACCGGAAAGCTTGTACGATTCTGCATTCTTGTTCTCTCCTATTTAGAATGGCAACTTTCTGTTGGCCACATACCGCTGCCAAGCCAACACCACTCGTCTAGAGCTCAAGGTGCGGTCCATCGAGGGTCAGTATGGGGTACTGCAGGCCTACATCACCCCCAGGCTGCAGCCCAAGACCTGCCAGGTCAGACAGTACCATATCAAACCGCTGTCCTTGCATCAGAGAACACACGTACTGGACGACGCAAGGTGAGGGGAAAATTCATGACAGAACTGGTGAATTCAAAATCGTTAAATTGTTGAGATGCTAAGTGCGGGATTTTGATAAGCAACGAAACAGACAACCTTTGCTAAAACAGGTTACTAAGAGCTGTGATCTTTGAGATTGGCAGTGCATTCAATGACTTCCCGGGTGCTTACCTTTAATGTCGTCAAAGGTTTAGGCGAGCGTGGGCAATATGTGATATTAATGAACGCTCAGGTCATTTGAGGTATCCAAATGGGTGAAAAGGTCATGCATAAATCAAATTTGTAAAAGCCATTTTGGACTGTCAAAAGCATCGGATATCCACACACACATATTTAGCTTTTAGTTCACATAACCTACTTGAGTTGACTTAATTTACCCCTACATGCTATGATTTTTCTGAGCTGTTTACGGTTGCATTAACTTCCCTTTGCGTCCTTCTACTAATATCTAAGCCTCCATGTTTTTGCCTTGCATTGTGGGATAATTCCCCCATTAACCAATTTTACAATGATTGCGGGGTCACTTAACTCATAAATATAATCTTTTCCACTGTAAACTTTACATTATCTGTCAAATTGCAGTGAGATTAAGCTGTAGGTTTTCACGGCGTTCATTTCCTTCCAACTTAAAATCTGTAAACTGTTTACAGGGTTTTCCTCACAATACTCATGATTAAGACTTCACAATTACCGAGTCTGCTGAACTCATTCCAAATGGGGTTAAACAAAGGGTTTTTCAAAAACTCAAATTTACCTTGTGAAAGAAGAAATGTAGAACAAGAACTCGGGTGTTTTGGAATGTCGAAGTGTTAAAAAATCAGGACACTTTCGTACGTAACACCTGGCGATGGAACAACCTCATTGTTAAAACATTTTTGGCAGGCCCATGAACACCCTGAAGTTGAGCGGTCAGTTCAGCCTGGCTGAGATCCACTCCTGGGTCTGCTTCTGCCTGCCGGAGATCCCCGAACGCACCCCGCCGGGAGACACCATCAACTTCCACTTCCTCTCCACGTTCCTGGACACCCAGCTGGACTGCCTGTACAGGTAAAGCCACTTCGGAATGCAAGGCTGCGGCTTATGTTCTCTTTCCATCTTTAATAGTTCCCCTCAATTTTTCCTTTCAAATTTCATTTCAATCTGACCTTACATCAGGTCCAATTTATAATTTCCCTATTATGGGAAAAAAAAAAAGGGAAAGAAACGAAGAAATCACAACAAAATGAATATTACGTCACAGGAAAGGAGAGGGCATCTTCCGGTCGGACAACATCTCCACCGTCTCCATCCTGAAGGACGTCCTGAGCAAGGAGGCCACCAAGCGCAAGATCAACCTGAACATCAGCTACGAGGTGCAGGAGGAGTCGGTGCCCGACACGCTGAGGAGGCTGCACCCCAAGCTGGAGTACCAGCTCCTGCTGGCTAAGAAGGTTCAGCTCATCGATGCTCTGAAGGTATGTGGGAAAAAAAAGCCATCCTCCCTCCCCCAAAACCCGGTGTAATCAATAACATTACAAATGTACAAAATATGAAGTGACCCTCCCTCAACCATATGTTGCCGGGGAACTTGGGATTCGGGTACCTTGAGTTTGTACGTCGTCAATAGCGGAGGAAATCCGTCATTGTTTTGAAAGATTATAGAACTGTTTGTGGTATTCAGCGCGAGCGGATTACCACAGGGGACAAAAGCGCTCCAGCACTCCAGTGATGAGCGATACCATACTGCTGTATGATAATCTGGCTCATGTTGAAAAGATGACAGCAGCGTACTGTGCCAGTTTCGGGAACAAAAGAAACTTTACTCCACACAATCTGGGCTCTTTTTACCAGGCGCCAGGCCTGGCTGAAATACTCGGGCGTCAGTAGATGTTGTCTGTCAGATTAGAGTAGCCACCAGACAGTCACTCGATGGGGTTTAGGCATTCAGGAAAAAAAATAAGAAATTTTGAAGATTAAAAAATTGCCCGTATGTAGGAGCTGCATTTTCAAAAGGCACCCGACAGAAAGTGGTGCCCCCCACACACACTTTTCAGAAGTGATTGACGCCGTTGAAATTACTGTGGATTTTAAGCACGGCATGTCAATTGGTGTAAATTATAATTGACATGAAAGATTTTTGTTCCAATTTTCTTTTCTCTCTTAGGAGTTACAGATCCATGAGGGGGATCTAGAATTCTTGTCCCCCGAATACCGGCAGATTCTTGGTGATGCCGACACTTTGCAGGCAGAGTACAAAAAGCAGCCATGTCACCTTGAGAGGTTGTACGGTAAGCAAGAAATAATTCGTATGCTGGTTGTTTTGTTTGGTTTGAGTTGAGGAATGTGGGAATACTCCAAATTTTCCCCAACTGTCTTTCTGAAGAATTACTCCCACATAAGTCCTCCCTGTCTGTAAGATTTCTTGCCATGTAACCTTACGGTTTTATGAAACCCAAGCTTAATGCAGAGTAGATAACTTAGGATCTCCAGTGACAGTATATACGGTGCTTTTATTTGCTGTTCTGCTACTGCTAATTATGTTTTATCCCACTTCTGACACCAGAAAAGAAACTTGGTATGTAATTAATGGAAACAGTCTGAATGGGTGCTCTTAAGCGGGATTTTAAAAGTCGTGAAACCCCAATTCCAGCACTGCACTTGTTCTCTTTGCTTAGCACACCATAATTTGGCAAACACATAATTTGGGAAGTGTCCCAAATGTTTGGACCAGCAAGTTTCTCTAGACTCAATCTGCTAAATTGACCATGCAGTTTTTTTGTCTGAACAGGAATGATTACAGATCTCTTCATTGACAAGTTCAAGTTCAAGGGAACCAACGTAAAAACCAAGGTGCCTCAGCTCCTGGAGGTTCTGGATAACTATGAGCTCCAGAACCTAATCGACTTCTTCAACTCAGCTGGCTCATAAAAAAACCCAAAAAGAGTCAAGCTCCCCGAAAATCAGTCTCGTTTCTTCACCAAAACGAATCTTGTGGCATCACTTCCAATTTAGAAACAAACACTGTCCATTGTGCAACACCTGTGCTTGCCAGGATTCTGCTTCATTGTAACTGGTCAAAGGAGAGAGCTTGGTGATGTTTCAAAATCCTGTCGGGGTGCTATAGGGCCCATGTAAAAAATGGAGAGGTCACTTTGTTGTCTGACCCCAATATTGAAATTACGACTTCATGAGGTGAGATGTTTCATGTATTACTCACAGTCACAGCACTTCCCAAGCCTACCAGGTCTGGAGAGATTTAACACTTTTCTGCGTCAAATCGTGTTAGCACTCTGTCGTTTTCTGGACTCACCGGTGGACATTAAAATGCATTGTAGTCACAGATGGGTTTAAGAAGTCCTGCATTGGGATTGGCAAGAAGTACAAGTGACCAATTTTCCACTGAATGTGTACAAAATGAGCATTTTTGGGTTTGAGGTACAGACCAAAGTCTCCAAAGTTTTCTGCGTTGACATTTGCCTAGGAGTGTTATAGGAGTGCGTATAGCCTACATGGGAGTGCTTTAGTCATTAGCAAAAGTGGTCCATTCTAGGCAAGAGAGAGTAGAGCAAACTAATAAAGCATTCAACGAGTGCCAAAAGAAACTGTGTACAACTTTTTTTATCAGGAATACATGCATTCTGTCAGTGCTCTCTGTCTTTACAGGTTTCCAAGTCTTTGCTGCTTGGAAGTGGGGTGTCTGGTGTAACACCCACCTGTTCTGGTGATGTCTTTGTCATTCCTCCATTTGAGAAGATGATTTTTGTATTAAACGGTGTCGTTATTTTGTGAGGTGGGGTTTTTTCCCCCAGATTTTCAAAATTGGAATTTCCATTTCGTTTTTTGTTTTAGTACAAACATTGTTTTCTTTGTGGTAACATGTACATGTGACCTACACATGCAGAGGAGAGGACTAAATTCCAAGAATTCATACATTTTCAATTTTTGCAATGATGACATTTTTCTTCTTGTTGTGGAACCAGTCTGTATTTAGATCCACTGTTTGTCTCATTATGCTGGACAGCCACACCTGCTCCTAGAAACAATCCTAGACCTTGTTTGCCCTACAATATGCTTTGCAACAGAAAACATAGACTACATTGGAAAGTACTCTTTATGTGTAAAAGTACATATTTGCACTTGCTGTGTATACTTGAATGGAATCTGTACATTGTATATGATTGTAAATAAAAGTATCTTTTATCATTGCTGTGACAGTCAGTGCTACTGAATCATTTCATTTTGAATATATTACAAGCCGTGCGGTGACTCACGGAGGGTCCAGTTTCATGTTTCAGCTCAAAGTGATATGAATTGCAAAATTAGGGCCATAAAAACAGAAAGATGAAAGGAATATCATGATCCTTTTCGGGCAAATTTACCTGGATTGGAACCTGTTGAGTGTGCAGTGAAATTTCTGCCACTGAGGTACTGCATGTTCTGGGCACTTCTTAACAAGTATATATTTGCACTTGCTGTGTTAAGACTCTCTTGTTACTTCATAACAAGGTTTAAGGCAAAAAGTTTGTGCTGTGCATGGTCAGTTAATGTACACAGATGGAAGCGGCATCATCCTACTGTGTTATGTATTCCTAGTTTTATATCTCAAAAAATCAAGGCCTTTATAAACAAACTCTGGTTGAATTTGGTTCAACTGAAAGAGTTCGCCCCTTTCAACGTGATGTGTCATTCGGAGGTAAACAGATTCCGTGGGATATCGTTTGTAATTGATGAGGGGCGAGATTGAAGTATAGCAGTATGTCATTGTATCATTACTGATGAGGTTTCTTGCCTCTTAATCTTACACATTTTGGAAAACCTTATGTATGTAGGGTTTGTTAATAAACCTAAATTGACCCTTTGAAGACAGGTGAAACAAACCGGAAGCGGGGAGCCAAGTGGTCTTTTCTCTTGTGAAAATACTGAAATCAGGTCGTGTGGGTCGACCCAATTTCAGAAAGGACTTCACTGCAAGTCAGCAGCTGCTTTCCTGAATTTTGCAGCATTTGCTGTATCAACAGTCTTCCTTTTTAACATTTTTTTCTGATGGTTTTGTAGAATGGGGGTGTGCAACCATGATGTCAGAAATTACAATGAAGCGATCACTGATTTCTGAGTGAGCTCGCAAACATTTGGTGTAAACGGCCTGGACGTGACACAGATCCAAGATATTCTGTCTCAGACGATGGATCCTTCCTAGTCGATAACCCCACCTTTTGTTAAAAATTATTATTGTTTGCTAAATCATCCATCTTTGATTGAAGACTCCCTGGGCCCGGGTTTTTTACATTGAAAAAAAAATCAAAATTACCGTGAAAACGAAATTGGAAAATTAATTCATAAAAACGAACTAGAGTTTCGTAACGTAAGGTTTTATTCCAATTTTATTTAGATGTGATGGAATTTGTTGCAGTAAAATTGTCCCAACAGAATTATTGTACGATAAACCTATGTCCACACATGAATATCCAGTGCATAATTTAGGAGGTGTCACTGGCAGACACACTGTTTCACAGTGCCACGCTATTTTTGGTTCCAACATCGCCCGGCGTGAAAAAGTTTCGCAGGCATCATTTGCCACCGTTAAAGTTATCTAGCGCCACCAAACGCGCCACCAAAGCATTATTTGCCACCGTTAAAGTTATCTAGCGCCACCAAACGCGCCACCAAAGCATTATTTGCCACCGTTAAAGTTATCTAGCGCCACCAGACTTTCCCCCTCTGAAAGGTTTCTAAACTTCGGCTTCGCACTGTTCGGGTGTGCCTCGAAATATGTGAGTGCTGCTACTGAACCCTTGTATCTCGAACTACAAGAAAATAATCCCATATGTTGATGGACAATATGCATATTTGATATTCCTGTAGCAGAAAAAGGCTTTTTGTGTTGTGTTTAGCAACAATTTTAAGATCAGTTTTTTTGCCCCTCTGATTTCTGAGTAAAATTAGGTGGAGTAGTGGAAACGGAACCTAGATTTGGACATTCCTGGACACGTTAAAGTTATCTAGCGCCACCAAGCGGTGTGCCGATTCGCGCCGGCGCGCCATACGTGAATTGCACATGGCATGACGCACACACATGTACGCGATACTAACCTTGTTGTTTCTGTACTGCTTCGGCAGTCTACATAGTGCGTGGTGCTGATGCAACGGGAGTTGAAATGGACGAAGCAAGATTGGTCGAGTTGGTTCTTAAACTTTACAAAGTTGAAGCCGTCAAATTTGGCTCCTTCACTTTGAAAAGTGGCATACAGTCGCCTGTCTATTTTGACTTGAGAGTCATGGTTTCGTATCCTGAAATAATGGCAAGTAAATTTATTAGGAATAGCGTGAGTGAGGCCATTCATCATGAATTAAGCAGCGGCTGATTTCACGAAACATGGCATAAAACATTGAACCATACTTAGAAAATTTTCTCAATTCCCTGTAGACTTAGTACACAAGTGGAGTCAGGATGCAACATCCTTTCAAAAATTGATGATATTCGTCTAAATCTTGTGATGTTGCGTAGACACAGACTTGCCGCGAAGACTTGGTTTATACATGAACACAAATTTTCTTGCATGCTTTATGATGTGAAATTAAAACCACAAGGCTGTGAAACTCCTATATAGTCTTTATTTGTATTGATAGGACGAAGTGTCAGAGTTATTGTGGGAGGCATCCGTGCAGAGCAAGGCTGACTTCAGTGTAGTGTGTGGTGTGCCGTACACAGCCCTACCATTGGCAACAGTAAGGCACAAGAAATATGAATAATGAAAGTGTTTTCAAAAAGCTGTTTCTGATGTTGAAACTCATGTTTTTGAATTATTGGATAATGTAGCTATAAATTTATGTCTTACAGATGTGCCGTCTCAAACAACAGAAAATAACGTTTTTATGCGAGTTACAGTTTCCAATGTGAATTTCTCCTTTGTGAATATTTTTTGAGTCTCCAAATTTCTACACAAATCTTATAGAGTGGATGTTTCCATACAAGATTTCATAGGCATTTGGACATTTCACTGTCTCAATTCACTTGCACACATTTCACGTACATTTATATTGTCCAAGAAGGTTAATGTTGATAGCTACATGGAATTTCACTGGTCCCCAACCTAACAGTTGATAGCAGTGAATCACAAGAAACCGATGGTCATCCGACGCAAAGAGGCCAAGGATTATGGCACCAAGAAGATGATAGAGGGCGCTTTCCAGCCGGGCGACCACTGCCTGATCGTGGAGGATGTCGTCACGAGCGGTGGGAGTGTCATGGAAACAGCTCAGGTGTGTTTTGTCCACATCTTGATAAAAAAAAACCCAAAAACCATTGCGCAGAAATCCTTCTCATGCAATTATTTTACATTTCTATGATACCCTAAGGCTGGTTCATATTCGATGCTAAAGCAAACATAAACATGATTTTGCAACGTCAAATCAAATACATGCACTGCAGATTTCCAAGTGTTTGCCCTTAAGTTTTGTTTTTTTCAATTGGCCAGCAGGGCTAGCTGGCCCAGGTTTTTGCTGGCCTGCAGACATTCAACTGGTCCTAATAAGATTTTTACAAGAATCTGTTCACAGAGAAAAACTAAACTACATGTACATCAACGGTAGTTTAATTCATAGTAATTTATTGTTTATTTTAACCCATTCATCCTAGCGACTTAGAAAGTGTTGAAGCACATCCACCACTCCTATTTGTACTCACAATTGTTCATCTACTTTATAACCCAGAAATCACTCGCAAAATTTCTTATGACAAAACATCCTATTATATGCAGATTTTCAGACGAAGCATTTCTTAACAAAGAAAAATCATTTTCTATGAAATAATTCTGGTGAATTTAAAAAGAGGACTTGTTTCATTTAAATTCCGACGCATCTTTTTTGAATGCACTAGCCCGAATTCACCAACCACATCCCCTGCGCCGCAAAGTTGACCAACCCATTACATCATGTAAAACCAATTATGCACATGTAGTTGAGTCTGCATTATGTGTGCGTTCGCAATCCAAAACTAGGAAATAATTGCAGACAAAATAGACTAAGGCCGTGTCCGGAACAGGCATCCAGAGCTATGGCTAGATCTGTTGTCTACGCATCGCCGTGTATCTCTACCTAGACCTAGCCATAGATGACAGATTCGGTTGTAGCCTAATAAGCCTCAGCTCTGGAGGCCCATTTTGGACACTCAGCCGAAGCCGATCTACGCATGTGCCGGCTGGGTTGCTGCTGCATATTTTGCTGTGCTGGGCTGACTAGCCGCCACGGCGCAGCACGTGCTACAGCAATTTAAATCTTTCGTCCCCCGAACATTATTTTGCAGAACAAATTTGCACATGCATTTATGTATTGCAGATGGAAGCCAACCACATGCATGCCTCACACAGTACGTACAGCGCGGTGCACCGGTCTGCCAGCTGGTCTGGTCTGGCCGAATGTGTTGGGAAGACGATTGTGTACTGGAAGGGCGCACTACAAAAAAAAGACTGAATTTAGGGCAAAAAAAAAGTTCATGATGTAATACATTTTAAGCCTTCGACATCTGGGCTCTATCCTTTATAAACAGTCAACATTGTGGTTTGGATGGAAAACTGAATCTGTTTATTACAACTGTTCAGCTGGCCAGCTGGGCCATTTGGGGATGCTTCTCAGCTGGCCCAAGGCAATTCTAACTGTCATTTGGCCAACGGACCACCGCTAAATTGAACACTGTTCGACTCGGGCAACCTTCTCTGATCGGCCTTCAGGCATGGCCGAAACATTGTTTCAGTTGTCTGCTCTGAGCAGTAACAAGAGAGGGCATGGTTTCATTTTGCAACCACCGTCCTTTGGCGCAGACTCAGCCCTCGTACACACAGGTTCATGCGCGTTGGCCGCAAGAAGCATTGAGCAGGCACAACCAACTTCTGTGAGAATGCACAGACTTTGCATGCGTGCCTGGCATGTATGTGTACATGAGCCCAGTGTAACCACCTCCCTCCGGCCTGTGTCTTTTTTGAGCCAATGAGGGTACTCTTCAACTCTGAGCAGATTGGTCAAAATGACCTTTGTCTTTTTTGAAAGTCCAACATAAAACAAAACCAGACGTGTTCCTGCTATGAGGCTAAATATGCTCAGTGTAGCTCCATGAGGCATTTTCCAGTGTCTGTTTTGTCTCTTCTTCGACTTTCCTCGACCAAGGGAGAGTGAAGGAGAAAAATGTTTTAAACGTCGTTTGTGAAAAAGTGTTGCTTTCCTACTTGAACGAATCCATATTACATTCAACTACTCCGGGTCGCTCAAACTTTTCAGCTGTGGGATTGAATCGAGGCTTCTGGTATTTTAGTAGGGGCCCTACAAAATTGACAGATAGGATAATTTGATGGAAACTATTTGGTCTAATTTAAGTCTCTTTTTTTCCCCTTCACAGTCGCTGAATGCTGTCGGTATGAAAGTGAAAGATGCAGTGGTCTTGTTGGATCGCAGCCAAGGTGGAAAGAACAGACTGGAACAGCAAGGCATACGCTTACAAAGGTAAAATGACACCTACCGTCTATTTGAAGAACGCAAATCTATACACTCATGCAAAGGGACACTAATACTTGGCTCCAAGCCAAAGTGTACGTCACATGCATTGTCAGCAACAGGCGAACGCTAGTATTCCACAACAAGCTTATCCTATTATTTCCAGCCCAAAATTCCAACTTTTAAAATGACAAGGTACCATATCCCAGCCCTTTACAAAGTCGGACTTAACAGATCAATAGCAATATTCATTAGTCAAATTCAGCCAAGGTTTGTGTGACATTTATCACTACATCATTGCTTTTTGACACTCTGCAACAATGTCGCGGTTCACTTTGCCACAACGCCAAGGTGTGGCCCACAGTCGCTTGATGGGCTCCACCCATGCTCAACCTCCTTCAACTCGTTTGAGCCTCCGTGTGTGTACGATTTCAATGGGAATCAGTCAAGTGTGGAGACGGGTGTAGATGTCATGTTGAAGCGTCCACTGTGTAACAGGCACAAGAAAGTCGCAATGCCCTCTTGTCCGAGGGACATTTAACTTTCATGGAAGACCTGCCTGTAAACTTGATACCACCACAATAACGGCTTCTAAGTTTGTCATCAGATAGAGTCCACATTCAGATGATGAATTTTGTGTCCTCCTGGTTCTATTTATATCGCAGCGTCCTCACCCTGCCCAAAGTTCTGCAAATCCTAGAGGATCATGGGAAGCTGGAACCGAGTGTGGTTGCTGCCGTGAAGCAGTTTATTGTAGACAATACCTTCCCCGATGAAGCGAAGGTCACTACCCCGGAGAAGCCATCAGATGCTAAAAAGCCTCGAATGGTACAGTTTTCCCATGTCTTTGCCAACTGCGGTGCTTGTCTCGTTGACCAGTGCCATTGTTGGATCCTGTTGTGGCTGGTAAATCCGCTCTGCTCGGAATAAAAGAGGGCATGGTTTTTTGGGTACTCACCGCATAGGCGCACCTCATGGCGCGTAGGTATATGCGAATTTGACGCAGAGTGCGCTGAGTATGCGTAACTAACTTATTCCAGCTTGTATGGTCTTTGCGTACACCCAGAACGCGTGCAAGAACCCACTTGTAACCACCTGTCCCTCTCATGCCGATTGGGGGCGTGCTTCACCTCGGGGCGGATTAAGACTCGGAGGCTGTTTGGCCTCTGGGGTACTTGACCCATTGGGGCATTGCACACTGACCTCACTTCTCTCTTAAAACCTGGTCATACTTCCGGCAAAAGCGAAAGTGAAGCGAATTTGACGTCACAAAACCTTCCTACAAAATCCATTGAAATTTGTTCAACATATGCAAATTCACATTGGAAATATGGGTCATTCTATAAATTTGGGGTCCAAAGAGTGACATTTTCCCGTCCCTGTTACTTCTGATGTGTATGCTATCTGACACATTTGACAAGGGAAGTATTACTGAAATTGATTTCAAACTATTATTTGTTTGGCAGGTAATTTGCAGTACTTATTCAATCTTGGATTTAAACAATGAGTTCTAAACATTTCAAAATCATATGCCGGACGTTACAGGGACAGGAATAAAATTGGACCCCCAAATTTATAGAATGGCCCGTATTAGAGTTAACATCACAGAATTGTGTTCTATTTTTTCTTTACACCAAGTTTGAACTGACCTTTTAAACACCGGCAGTGTTGCTTCACTGAGCATTTGGTGTACCCTCAGTGCTAAAGGAGATAAGGTCAAAAAGGTTTAACTTAGTGTCGGGTGTTCAACAGTCCAATCTTCATATGTTTGCGCACGCCGCTGTCATTGACGTGTACCCCCTTTCTTTTTTGTGTGTCAGTCTGGCTATGAGACACGGGCGGAGTTGTGCCAGCATCTGGTCGCTAAGCAACTCTTCACCATTATGGCTGCCAAGAAGACCAACCTTGCCTTCTCGGCCGACCTCACATCTTGCCAACAGGTCCTTCAGGTAATTAGCTTGAAAAAAAATAAAGTCATGTAGTTGATAACAGTAAGGCACGTAAGGCTACCCAATACTGCAGTCTCAAGCCAAAGACACGGGATCTACAAGTTTTTCTGAAGTCGGATTGATTCTGTTTTTTTGGCCAACAACGGTATCTTTTGCCTCGTGCATCCTCCTTCAGCTTGCAGATAAGGTCGGTCCCCACATCTGCCTCCTCAAAACTCATGTTGACATCCTGGAGGACTTCTCAGCAGAGTTTGTGTCGTCGTTGACAGCCCTCGCCAGTAAACACAACTTCCTGATATTTGAGGACAGGTGGGTGCGAGCGTGCCTTCAGGCATATTGAAGAGTTCGTTCATAAACTTAGAGAGCGTCTCAAAAGTCGGAACTTTCCTGTTCGCATTGGAACGCTCCATTTGGGAACACCAGTTGTTCCCATCGGGAACACAGCCTTTTCCAAATGGGAACAGCCAGTGTTCCTGTTGGGAACACGAGTTGTTCCCAGCTATTCTGTCGTGAACGCTTTGTTGTGACGTCAGCGTTCCTTCTGGGAACATTCAAAGTCAGTCATGTCAAGTTCTAATTGGGACGCAAAGCAAACGAAATAGATTTATCTTTGGAGAAGCACTCGACAACATACACATCCCTACACTAGAGCTCTGTATATTGAGCATACCGGAGAGTAATTGAAAGGTAGTTATTTTTGGTTTAATTTTTCGTATGTCCTCTGCAGAGTCGGTTACTGTGCTTTGAATTTGTGTGGAAATATTGTGTAAACATGATAAATTATTTCCCTCTGGTACTGTTTGTGCTTTTAACCGTTTGCGTGTTAAACCCTGAACATTGTGCTTTACAATACTGGTACTAAGTGACTACAACCATTTTTGATGAGGGGTATGCCAAAATACACAACTTCCTGGCAACTTCCAAGTTCTTATGTTAGATAGCCCTTTCAATTTGAATTTCATAAGTTCAATATCGATGATATACAAAATATTTAGGTCGTTCTCAATGGGAATATTCATATCATTCACAAGAGTAAACGCGCGTTACATCAGGGAACAGTGGCCTTCCCACTGTGTTCTCTGTGCATTCTACCAGGGAACGGCAGTGTTCCACAGAGCAGATTTCTTATCAAGTGACGATTTCTCTAGTTTCTTAGAATGTTTAGGGTTTACTGAAGTGTGATGCTTGTGGTGCTGAATACGAAAGCAGTATTCAGGTATTAGGTTCAGTGTAGGTTTTCTTTTTGGATGTAATCTGGAAAAATTCGAAGTATTCCGTCGACGAATAGTTGTCAAGTCTGGGAACAAGGAAGCTTGCCTGTAATAATAATCCCCTCAGTATCAAATACTCCAGCCTAGTCTATCGTGTGTAGTACTGCAGTACCAGCGGTTTGATTCAAATTTGAAGATTTATTTTTGGACATGTTTGCAGATAATATCCCAAGATTTACTGAATCTTAATTAATACGGTATCAGGGCAAAGGTCTCGCTTCCGACATAAACAAGGACGCTGTAAGTTTACTAAGGGAGAATACACCATACGAAGGCAAAAGCATTACGGACTGACTGGGAATGGGAAATACAAAACTTGTGTGCTCAGCATTCGTTGACAGCATTCCGAAAAGGAACACACGCATTCCCTGATATCAGTGTTCCCAAAAATGGAATGTTCCGTTCGGGAACAGCGCGTGTTCCAAACTGGAACAAGGCTTGTTCCAAGTGGGAATAGCCGTTGTTCTCCATCGGGAACATCCCCTGTTCCCAAAAGGAACGTTCCGACTTTTGAGACGCTCCCTTAGGAAGATAGAAGATGCCACTATGGGTCATTCTATAAAATGGGTTGCAATTTTTTCACGCCCCTGTCGTGTCTAACGTGATTTTGCATGTTTAGGACACATTCTTGAATTTTCAAGTGATGCAAGTTACCTGCCAGATAAACAATAGTTTAAAGTCAATTTTTAGTGATGCCTCAGTGTCACATTACATAATTTAGTAATTTAGGTGTATCCGGGAAAACAGTAATACATTTGGACCTCAAATTTGTAGAATGACCCTTATAAAAGTCTTTCAGGGACTGTTAATCTCTATCAGACATTTTTCAGCCTTACTAGTAACAGTAAGGAGTTAACCCCTTTGCGCCGGGAGGCAGCTAGACAAGTCGTAAAAATTGAGATCCTCAGCCCACTTTTCAGCTATTATTCTTGGCCCAAGCTCGAGCAAACACGGTGAAAGAAGGCAGACCCTGGATCTTGTATATATGGTAATTGGTCTTTGTGCGTAGCCC